GCCTTTCATTTCTATTTTTAAACTGAATGGGTTGTTTTACAAGGTGGGGGTTTACATACACTTTAATGTATTCTCTCCTTTACAGTAAAAAACCTTCAATGCTCAGCCAGTTCAAATACTTACCTGAGCCAAACCTTGATCCAGCACTGTGCCCAAGAACAGCAGCTCTCTCTACTCTCTCATCTCTCTCTCCTCATAGGACGAGAGGCAGCAGTGGGAGCCTTTGACTCTCGCTGCTGTCAACCAAATCCTGTGATGAGGGAGCGAGAGAGAGGGCTGAGCCGCACTCTGTGTCTATGGACGCAGGTAGCATGGCTCGGAGTCAAGCACGCACAAGTTCCCCCATAGCAAGCAGCTTGTTATAGGCACACTCACTGAACAGGAGGAGCCAGGAGTATTGGAGCGGGAGCCCAGAAAAGGAGGCTCGTGGCTGCTCTGCACAAACAATTGCCCAGAGCAGGTAAGTATGACATATTGGTTGGTTAAGAAAAAGGAAGGTTAAAATCATTTTAAGTATGAACTCCAGTAAACAGCTAAATAGACATACATATGAGCTGGTTTACTTGTCAAATTATTTATATTTTTTGTCTATCCAGCTCTAAGATTTAGAGTCCTGACAGACAGTATAGCCAGGAGGGTAACTTGAATTATTTTTAATGTGATTTTTCAGAAGCAGACTGATAAGCTCAACTTTCTCCTCCTGTAAGCATCTTCTTTGCAAGCAACACACCTGATTGGCATCTATTGAACAGAGAGAACAGAGATAGGAGGACAGATTCTGGAAATTACACTATCTGCATCTAGAAATAATGAAATGTTTTGAATGAATATATAATTGCAGTAACTGGTGTTATATAGCTGCCTGGAGTTTAGCATTTAGTTTACTTATGTAACCATATATTTTTATAAAAGCTATAAAAGCTATTGGGTTTAACCCTATGTACGCAAATGTAGCTTAGCCACCCTTTGAGCTTTTTCCAAGTGAAAACACACACTGATGTAGCCAATATCATTTTAAGCTGAACATTGGAACTATATCTGTATACACATCTGGGAGGATGTTGAATATTTGGATTAGAAGATTTGCTGGATGAATAGTAAACTATTCATTCACATATTCTGGGAAGCCAATAGGTGATCCAAGACTGAAGTCATGCTAAAGATACATTTTAAATACCTTCTGCAAATGAGCACACAAGTTTATTTTTTTCATAAAGAAAATTGACAATTATAAGGGTGCCAAATGATTGCTCAACATCATCATCACCAGCACTGTGTAGAGAATGCTGCTCTGGAAGATTATAATACTGAAAATACTTCTTTGCAGCCACTAAAAATGGTACTTACAGAGGTGTAATTTTCTTTTAAGCAGAACTAAGTGTTCTGGCACCATGGGGGAAGACTAGCATTATGTCCTAGTGTGCCCTCCTCTTGTGATGACAGGTTGAGACTCTAGTCATCGTCCTATCAACTGCCACCAATATATTTTACATCACTTCTTTAGGGTCATGTAATGCTGCTCTTTAGCCATTTGGTAGCCACTGATGATGTTACTCCTGCACGTGAACATGGTGTATACTGTTATGACAAGCTACTGACAAGCATTGTGCCATTACACACTATGCCAAATACTGTATATTCACAAACAAATCCACATGCACTGCTCCCTATTTTTTAAATACACCCAAAACATTGCACAGTTTTAATATTCAAATCTCTGTGCAGCAGCTACTCAAAATATTATCACATACTAATCAGAAAAAAATCATGAAAAGCAGCACTTACAAAACTATTACACAAAGTGATAATCACAAAATATGTAAATTATAAAAAGTGTCCAAAAAGGATCCCTACATTCAAAAGTATGAATAACAAAGTGTCATATGTCTCAATGTCCAAAGTTATGACCACCACCTCACTGGTAATTGTGACCACAAAATTATAGGTAGGTCAGTATGCACATTTATCATCTATCCATACACTGAAAGACTCTTCCAATCCAACACAAAATATAATGATCAGAGGGGTACCCAGTAAATTTGACCCCTCAGTATTATAAACAGGTAAGTGTGCACATCAATCATCTATCTGTATACTGGAAATCTTTAATTATCCACAAGAGCTCAGATTTATTCAGAGGAATACCCAAAAGGCAAAATTGCTTCCCGTAGTGTAATACCGTTTTAAAAAATTAAAATATAAACCACTAGCAGGACTACTCACATGTTCAAAGTGCTTAAAGTGGAGTTCCATCCATTTTTTAATGTGCCTCTATTTACATTGTACCTGTGTTGTAAAGCACGAGTTGTATAAACTTTTTTTTTCCGTATTATAAATACCTTTAAATCAAGTTTCAGGACTGCAGTTCTGGTCCCGGCCCCCTAGGCGATGACATGTTAAGGTGAATCGCAAAGTCTCCTGGGATGTCAGGTCCTGTATACCAGGAGTCCTTTGGGTTCCTAGCGACTGACTATCGTGGTACTTCGAAACAGGAAATGATGTGAATTGGAGGAGTTTGGTGCCATTTTATGGGAGTCCTATATGGGGAAGAAGTGTAAATTGTGTGCTGTGGACTGTGCTATTCTATGTTAGCTGGATATTCAGAGTGTGTGTATAGCAGCACCAACTCCAGGAATCAATTATATATGAAGCGATCATAAATACAAAAGGACAATTAAAATCCATATAGACAACATAGCACCATATATAGTAGTTACTGATGAAACAGTTTAAATATAGTTCAAAACAATGAAAATATTAACACTCAAATGTCCCCAAAACCAGTTACATCAGCATATGAATAGACTGGTGCAAGACAAACAGGATCGCTTGTCAGGCTCTAGAGCCCTCTATGATTAAGCCTTGAAAATGGTGAAATGCATCTGAGGTGTTCTCTACAGGTGGAGAATAGGAGCTGAAGCCAGTTTTTACCCATTTCATTCACATTTATGCAACAGGGAGTCAGTGCCTGTGTGCAGACAGCAATATTTTTTTGAAGTTTAAATCTAGTGCCACACTGAGACTTCTTGGTTTCACAGTTTCCAATTCATAAATCCAAATGGTCTAATTCCTGTATATTTTGCCTCACAGAATCTGTTTAACAGAATCTTAAGCCTCTAGGATCCCTATGATTGTACCATCTTAAGTGTAACAAAAGATTGGGATTTAAGGCCATTTCACATATTATTGATATGTTTTCCCAATCTGATCCTCAATTTATGGTGGGTACTGTCCACATACTGTTTGGCACATGGGCATTTGAGAAGGTATGTAACATTGGTGGAGTTACACGGAATTAATTTGTCAATCTTTTATTCCAGCTCACTGCATCTAGAACTGAATTTGTATAGCCTTCTCCATTGATGCAAATTATTCAAGCCTGGCATCTCCCACAGAAAAAAATCACTCACCCTATTCAAAAATGTTGTGGGTTTCCTGCGGATCAATTATTTTAGGTGCCAGCTTGGTATTTTTTTTTATTTTATTTTGTGGTAATACTTTGTCTAAACACCATTTTGTAATAGCATATGCCAGAATTATTTTATGAAAAATACCTTCAATAGTTCTATATTGTGCATTAAACTCTGAAAAAAAATTTAATGAATAAAATCATATTCCTAAATCCTTATTCCTAACATTCTTTATAAATTGGGACCTTAATCAGTCAACCTGTAAATAATAATCCTGCAAGTTGCAACAGTTCCTTTTGATCCTGATGAACCGCCACCCTGGCACATTCTTAATCCAATCTGGATGATGTCTACTATACATAGGTATGAAACTGTTCGGATACGTCTCCTTGAAATGAGTATGTGTAGACAGTCTGTTATCAAATATAAATATTTCCAGATCTAATAATTTAACCTCCGATCCATTATGCTCAGTGCGCAGAGCCGATCCATCCTGCGGGGATTGTCAGCTTTCTTTACAACTTAACTTTTCTTGGAGCGGGTCCGGTGTCACCCTGTATAGGTTGCATGCCGACGATCCTGCGGGGATCGTCGGCATGCAACCTATACAGGGTGACACCGGACCCGCTCCAAGAAAAGGTAAGTTGTAAAGAAAGCCAACGTTTCCCACAGGATGGATCGTATCCATCATGCAGGGATCGTCGGCTTGCTTTACAACTTACCTTTTTGTGGAGTGGGTCCGGTGTCCCCCCGTGCGTTCGGTGTCACCTGGTGTGGACCTCACCCCCCGCACCTGCCTCGAGACACCACTGTTCAGGTGTTCCAATCACATCCATGACCACATATGTATAAAATGAAGCACGCAGACCTCTTCTACAAACATTTGTGAAAGAATGGGTTGCCCTCAGGAGCTCAGCCTTCCCAGAAGAGTTGAAGCTGTTATAGCTGCAAAGGGTGGGCCAACTCAATATTGAACCCTATGGACTAAGACTGGGATGCCATTAAAGTTCATGTGTGTGGAAAGGCAGGCGTCCCAATACTTTTGTCAATATAGTGTATTTCTCAAAAATATAACCAGATCTTCCTTGGTACCCTTCCAAATAAAAAGACATAATCTACATATCTTTACCAACACACAAACTGTTCAAGGGTGCCAGTGAAGATAGAAGATGATTCCCACGCTGCCATAAAAATATTTGCGAAACTGAGTGCAAATTCAGTGCCCATCGGTATACCCATCAATTGTATATAACAACCACCCCCAAACCACAAAAATTGACATTCTATAATGTATTGTTGTAATTCATCCAAAAAAACTGTGGAAAACAGAGCATCTTCATGCTTAACTAGTAGCCGACCGCAGATAGCCGAATGACGGCTGCACTGCAGCCGGCCAGTTCTGGGTGGACGTCATATGATGTCCTCCCAGAACGCGCTCTCCTGCGCGCCCCAGGGGGCGCGCACCCCGGTGATCTCCGTGATCGCTGTGTCCTACGAACACAGCTGATCACGTGATGTGGTAAAAGGCCAATCACAGCGGCCTTTTACCAAGTGATCAGCGGTGTCCAATGACACGCTGATCAGAGGGAAATGCAAGTGCCGGTTCTCGGCTGCACTTTCCTCACGCTGTCAGATCGTGAGGAAAGTACTGCCGAGAACCAGCAGTTGTCAGAGCGGGGATCGGCACCGATCATCAGGGCACTGATGATCAGTGCCCTGATGATCGGTGCCCAGCAGTGACACCCGCAAGTTCCGCCCACCTGTGCCCAGCAGTGCGCCCACCTGTGCCCAGCAGTGCTCCCACCTGTGCCCAGCAGTGCACCCACCTGTGCCACTCTGCAGTGCCACCTACCTGTGCCACCTACCTGTGCCCACCTGTGCCCACCCACCTGTGCCCATCAGTGCCACCCACCTGTGCCCACCCACCAGTGCTGCCCACCAGTTCCACCCACCAGTGCAGCCCAGCAGTGCTGCCAGTCAGTGCCACCAGTCAGTGCCCAGCGGTTGTGCCAGTCAGTGCCGCCAGTCAGTGCCCAGCAGTGATGCCAGTCAGTACCGTCTATCAGTACCCATAATCAGTGTCACCTATCAGTGCCGCCTATCAGTGCTGCATATTAGTGCCGCCTATCCGTGACACCTCATTAGTGCTGTCTATCAGTGCCGCCTATCTGTGCCACCTCATTAGTACTGCCTATCAGTGCCCTTTAGTGCTGCCTATCAGTGCCCATCAGTGCCGCCTATCAGTGCCCATCAGTGCTGCCTCATCAACGCACATCAGTGCTGCCTCATCAACGCACATCAGTGAAGGAGAAAAAATACCTGTTTGAAAAATTTTATAAAAGAAACAAAGAAACTTTTTTTTTTTTTTCACATTTTTTGCACTTTTTTTATTTATAGCGCAAAAAGTAAAGTGCCCAGTGGCGATTAAATACCACCAAAAGAAAGCTCTATTTGTGAGAAAAAAATGATCAAAATTTCATATGGGTACAATGTTGCATGACCGCGCAATTGTCAATCAAAGTGCGGCAGCGCTGAAAGCTGAAAATTGGCCTGGTAAATAAGGGGGTATAAGTGCCTGGTAGGCAAGTGGTTAATGATGGTAAATAAGGAAGACACATCACTAGCTCCATCCCAATATATAATATTCATGATAGGGAATAATATCTAGAACATGTATAATGTGCTTAGTATCTCAAAGATAAGAGCCAACCCCTTTTACCAGTGACTGAAGACAAAAAATGTAGATATTCCTCCAAATAGGAGGTAAGGGAATTTGTCACGTTAACTATGGAGTGACCCAGAGGGTGCTCTTTATCTTTATGCATTTTAACCTCTTCACGCCGGCCGCACACAAATGTGTGGCCTCCCAGCATCTGGGCCTAGAAGCCGAGTGGCCCCACATTTGTGTGCAATTAAGAAAAACATATATGCTGAGAGTACGCGCGAATCACATGACCCTAAAACCCCGCCTTCTGAAACCCTTAAAGGGCCGGGAGGCGCCGGCATCAAGGGGTTAAGTAATATATTAGTGGTACTCTGTGGGCACTTGGGATCAAATGACAGTACTCCTTACTAGTTAAAATGTTCTGTCATAATCCTTTATTTACCAATATCTTAATTTACGGTTTAAAAATTAGACAACAGATTACTTGGAAGTATTTTGTAACTATCACTATCTGATAATAGTCTGATAATTTCTTTAAAGCACATGTGCTTTTAGATTGTAAGCTCCACGAGCAGGGCCCTCACATTCCTTCTGTACTGAAATGTATTGTAATTGTACTGTCTCCCTTATATCGTAAAGCACTGTGCAAACTGTTGGCGCTATATAAATCCTGTATAATAATAATAATGTGTCAAACACAAGGCCTGAGGGCTGAATGCGGCCCTCCAGGTCAGTTCATAAGACCCTCGCACCTTTCCTGCAGCTACACCCCCAGCTTCTTCCTGAAAGCAGAACAAGGTATGGGGGTGCACTGTGATGTAAGAAAGGGTGTGGGGCTCTTGACTTCTGATGGTGGGGGGGCTCAGGACATCTGCTTAGAATTATTATGAAAATAATACAATTTTATGCCAGTTGAAAAGGGCGGTTGCACACTGCTGGTATCATCAATAAGAAACTTTATTTGCTCAGATGGACCACAATGGCAAAACCATGGAGAAATCTCCAATAAAGTTTCTTGTGGACGATACCAGTGGTGTGCACCCTCCCCTTTTAAGACCTGAATTATCTGCTACAGGAGTGTGAGTGATCTCCATTCTGGTTTGCACCTGCCCTTCACAGCTTAAGTTCTAAGTTATTATTAAAACCAGTAATATTCAAATGTAGAAGCTATTATTTAATATTAGATTATATTAGATTATATATTAAATATTGGTGGTGGTGGGCATTGTGACAAGAAGCAATCTCCTGTATGGCTTTCAATGGAGCAGCTGGAAGCCACAGAAGGGAGAGGAGGAGATGAGGCTTCAAGCTGCTTCATTGAAAGCCATACAGGAGATCGCTGCTGGTCACCGCCCTCACTGCAGAACATACCTGATTGACGGTTCAGTTTTTATTTCTGCCCCCCCCTCCTACTACCGCTGCCCAACACTGTGTTTTTCTCACTGCCCAGCCCCTCCCTCCATCCTCCGCACCAATCGGAGAAGAGGGGAGAGAGGCTGGATATGCTCTGCCTCCCCCTGTGCCCGCCGACACTCCCCCCCCCCCTTCCTCCCCCCCCCCCCCCCCTTCCTTCCCCCCCCCCCCCTTCCCCCCCCACCCCCCCCCCCCCCCCCCCCCCCCCCCCCCCCCCCCCCCCCCCCCCCCCCCCCCCCCCCCCCCCCCCCCCCCCCCCCCCCCCCCCCCCCCCCCCCCCCCCCCCCCCCCCCCCCCCCCCCCCCCCCCCCCCCCCCCCCCCCCCCCCCCCCCCCCCCCCCCCTTCCCCCCCCCCCCCCCCCCCCCCCCCCCCCCCCCCCCCCCCCCCCCCCCCCCCCCCCCCCCCCCCCCCCCCCCCCCCCCCCCCCCCCCCCCCCCCCCCCCCCCCCCCCCCCCCCCCCCCCCCCCCCCCCCCCCCCCCCCCCCCCCCCCCCCCCCCCCCCCCCCCCCCCCCCCCCCCCCCCCCCCCCCCCCCCCCCCCCCCCCCCCCCCCACCCCCCCCCCCCCCCCCCCCCCCCCCCCCCCCCCCCCCCCCCCCCCCCCCCCCCCCCCCCCCCCCCCCCTCCCCCCCCCCCCCCCCCCCCCCCCCCCCCCCCCCCCCCCCCCCCCCCCCCCCCCCCCCCCCCCCCCCCCCCCCCCCCCCCCCCCCCCCCCCCCCCCCCCCCCCCCCCCCCCCCCCCCCCCCCCCCCCCCCCCCCCCCCCCCCCCCCCCCCCCCCCCCCCCCCCCCCCCCCCCCCCCCCCCCCCCCCCCCCCCCCCCCCCCCCCCCCCCCCCCCCCCCCCCCCCCCCCCCCCCCCCCCCCCCCCCCCCCCCCCCCCCCCCCCCCCCCCCCCCCCCCCCCCCCCCCCCCCCCCCCCCCCCCCCCCCCCCCCCCCCCCCCCCCCCCCCCCCCCCCCCCCCCCCTCCCCCCCCCCCCCCCCCCCCCCCCCCCCCCCCCCCCCCCCCCCCCCCCCCCCCCCCCCCCCCCCCCCCCCCCCCCCCCCCCCCCCCCCCCCCCCCCCCCCCCCCCCCCCCCCCCCCCCCCCCCCCCCCCCCCCCCCCCCCCCCCCCCCCCCCCCCCCCCCCCCCCCCCCCCCCCCCCCCCCCCCCCCCCCCCCCCCCCCCCCCCCCCCCCCCCCCCCCCCCCCCCCCCCACCCCCCCCCCCCCCCCCCCCCCCCCCCCCCCCCCCCCCCCCCCCCCCCCCCCCCCCCCCCCCCCCCCCCCCCCCCCCCCCCCCCCCCCCCCCCCCCCCCCCCCCCCCCCCCCCCCCCCCCCCCCCCCCCCCCCCCCCCCCCCCCCCCCCCCCCCCCCCCCCCCCCCCCCCCCCCCCCCCCCCCCCCCCCCCCCCCCCCCCCCCCCCCCCCCCCCCCCCCCCCCCCCCCCCCCCCCCCCCCCCCCCCCCCCCCCCCCCCCCCCCCCCCCCCCCCCCCCCCCCCCCCCCCCCCCCCCCCCCCCCCCCCCCCCCCCCCCCCCCCCCCCCCCCCCCCCCCCCCCCCCCCCCCCCCCCCCCCCCCCCCCCCCCCCCCCCCCCCCCCCCCCCCCCCCCCCCCCCCCCCCCCCCCCCCCCCCCCCCCCCCCCCCCCCCCCCCCCCCCCCCCCCCCCCCCCCCCCCCCCCCCCCCCCCCCCCCCCCCCCCCCCCCCCCCCACCCCCCCCCCCCCCCCCCCCCCCCCCCCCCCCCCCCCCCCCCCCCCCCCCCCCCCCCCCCCCCCCCCCCCCCCCCCCCCCCCCCCCCCCCCCCCCCCCCCCCCCCCCCCCCCCCCCCCCCCCCCCCCCCCCCCCCCCCCCCCCCCCCCCCCCCCCCCCCCCCCCCCCCCCCCCCCCCCCCCCCCCCCCCCCCCCCCCCCCCCCCCCCCCCCCCCCCCCCCCCCCCCCCCCCCCCCCCCCCCCCCCCCCCCCCCCCCCCCCCCCCCCCCCCCCCCCCCCCCCCCCCCCCCCCCCCCCCCCCCCCCCCCCCCCCCCCCCCCCCCCCCCCCCCCCCCCCCCCCCCCCCCCCCCCCCCCCCCCCCCCCCCCCCCCCCCCCCCCCCCCCCCCCCCCCCCCCCCCCCCCCCCCCCCCCCCCCCCCCCCCCCCCCCCCCCCCCCCCCCCCCCCCCCCCCCCCCCCCCCCCCCCCCCCCCCCCCCCCCCCCCCCCCCCCCCCCCCCCCCCCCCCCCCCCCCCCCCCCCCCCCCCCCCCCCCCCCCCCCCCCCCCCCCCCCCCCCCCCCCCCCCCCCCCCCCCCCCCCCCCCCCCCCCCCCCCCCCCCCCCCCCCCCCCCCCCCCCCCCCCCCCCCCCCCCCCCCCCCCCCCCCCCCCCCCCCCCCCCCCCCCCCCCCCCCCCCCCCCCCCCCCCCCCCCCCCCCCCCCCCCCCCCCCCCCCCCCCCCCCCCCCCCCCCCCCCCCCCCCCCCCCCCCCCCCCCCCCCCCCCCACCCCCCCCCCCCCCCCCCCCCCCCCCCCCCCCCCCCCCCCCCCCCCCCCCCCCCCCCCCCCCCCCCCCTCCCCCCCCCCCCCCCCCCCCCCCCCCCCCCCCCCCCCCCCCCCCCCCCCCCCCCCCCCCCCCCCCCCCCCCCCCCCCCCCCTCCCCCCCCCCCCCCCCCCCCCCCCCCCCCCCCCCCCCCCCCCCCCCCCCCCCCCCCCCCCCCCCCCCCCCCCCCCCCCCCCCCCCCCCCCCCCCCCCCCCCCCCCCCCCCCCCCCCCCCCCCCCCCCCCCCCCCCCCCCCCCCCCCCCCCCCCCCCCCCCCCCCCCCCCCCCCCCCCCCCCCCCCCCCCCCCCCCCCCCCCCCCCCCCCCCCCCCCCCCCCCCCCCCCCCCCCCCCCCCCCCCCCCCCCCCCCCCCCCCCCCCCCCCCCCCCCCCCCCCCCCCCCCCCCCCCCCCCCCCCCCCCCCCCCCCCCCCCCCCCCCCCCCCCCCCCCCCCCCCCCCCCCCCCCCCCCCCCCCCCCCCCCCCCCCCCCCCCCCCCCCCCCCCCCCCCCCCCCCCCCCCCCCCCCCCCCCCCCCCCCCCCCCCCCCCCCCCCCCCCCCCCCCCCCCCCCCCCCCCCCCCCCCCCCCCCCCCCCCCCCCCCCCCCCCCCCCCCCCCCCCCCCCCCCCCCCCCCCCCCCCCCCCCCCCCCCCCCCCCCCCCCCCCCCCCCCCCCCCCCCCCCCCCCCCCCCCCCCCCCCCCCCCCCCCCCCCCCCCCCCCCCCCCCCCCCCCCCCCCCCCCCCCCCCCCCCCCCCCCCCCCCCCCCCCCCCCCCCCCCCCCCCCCCCCCCCCCCCCCCCCCCCCCCCCCCCCCCCCCCCCCCCCCCCCCCCCCCCCCCCCCCCCCCCCCCCCCCCCCCCCCCCCCCCCCCCCCCCCCCCCCCCCCCCCCCCCCCCCCCCCCCCCCCCCCCCCCCCCCCCCCCCCCCCCCCCCCCCTCCCCCCCCCCCCCCCCCCCCCCCCCCCCCCCCCCCCCCCCCCCCCCCCCCCCCCCTCCCCCCCCCCCACCCCCCCCCCCCCCCCCCCCCCCCCCCCCTCCCCCCCCCCCCCCCCCCCTCCCCCCCCCCCCCCCCCCCCCCCCCCCCCCCCCCCCCCCCCCCCCCCCCCCCCCCCCCCCCCCCCCCCCCCCCCCCCCCCCCCCCCCCCCCCCCCCCCCCCCCCCCCCCCCCCCCCCCCCCCCCCCAGCCCCCCCCCCCCCCCCCCCCCCCCCCCCCCCCCCCCCCCCCCCCCCCCCCCCCCCCCCCCCCCCCCCCCCCCCCCCCCCCCCCCCCCCCCCCCCCCCCCCCCCCCCCCCCCTCCCCCCCCCCCCCCCCCCCCCCCCCCCCCCCCCCCCCCCCCCCCCCCCCCCCCCCCCCCCCCCCCCCCCCCCCAGAGGAAAAGTTGGTAAGGGAAGTGATAAAAATGCAGCTCAGCTGCAAGCTGAACCCCCTCCAGAAAAAATATTATCTACAGCCCTGCATTGGACTACTAATCTTTTTTTTTTAAATGTCCATATATATTTTATGTACATCTATATATGTTTGGAATTTATTAAGACCTTGGAGCAAATGTCAACCCCCCCTGATCCAGGACTTTTAATTCATCCCTCTCCAAGACGGCATAACTCAAATTGTAAATTTCCTGTCCTAAAACATTCATCTGTTTCTGAACCCATGCTCTTGCCCTGCACTCCTCCTCTTATTTTGAGTCCGTGATGGTGATCCCTTTCCTGTTGAAATATCCCTGTCCCATACCGCACTCTTGTACCCCCCACAAATAGGGTGGAATATGTATGGACTGTAGAAAAAGTATCTTCATAATTTTCAGCTACAGGGGCAAATCTATTGTTGAAGAGTGTCACCATATCCATCCTATTAGGCCCAAATGTTTCCTTGGTATTATAGCGTACCCTATTCTTCAACCTGGATTCTGGTTATCATTTATAGTGCTCAGGGGCGGACTGACAACTCATGGGGCCCCCAGGCAATAGGGGATCATAGGGCCCCTGTGTCCTTGTCCAAATTCAAAAAAGCCTATGAAAAAGGTACCAGGGGAATCTCATGGGGCTCCCTACTGACCCCAGGCCCTCGGGCAGTGCCCTAGTTTCCAAATAGTCAGTCCGCCCCTGATAGTGCTATCTGCTTTATACTTAGATGAATTAATTTCCTAATTTTTGTATTAAATTCTCTTTTTCTTCTTAATTATCCATTTATAACCTTTCTTATCCTTAAAATCACATAACAATGTTTTCATTTTTACCTCCTTAATTTTCTTACCTTTAATATTTAATTGTTCCTGTAACTGCTTGGAATTTTTTACAGTCTCTTCTAACTCACCAAATGGAAGCAATTTATCTTTAATATTCCTAATCTCTGCTTCCAATAAAATGTGTTTCTCTTTCTCTTCCTGGTAATTAAATTTAGGAGGTCTCAACCACAGCAAATTAGAAATGCATACCATAGGAAGCAATTTTGTCTTTTGAGCATTCCTCTGAATATTTCTGATCTGTGGTGGATCTTTTCCAGTGTATGGATAGATTACTGATGGGCACACTGACCTGCATATAACTTGGGGGTAGAATTTACTCCTCCCTCTGACCATTCTAATTTGTGGTGGATCAAAAGTGTTTTCCAGTGTATGGATAGATGATAAATGTGCATATTGACCTGTCTATAATTTGTGGGTCACAACTACCAGTGAGTGTGGCTTTGAGGGGTGGAGGTACAACTGTGTGTTCATCAGTTTGGACGTTGGGAAATAGATTTACACTTTGTTACCCACACTTTTGATTATGGGAATCATTTTTGGACACTTTATAATTGATATATTTTGTCATTATCACTTTTGTAATAGTTTTTTAAGCTGTGCTTTTCATGATTTTATACTGTTTTTATACTGTTAAGCCCTGATGAAAGGGGCAAGTATTGGACCTTCAAATGCAGTGTACAGTGTGTACAGTTTTTCCCCTTAACGTACATTGTAATACAATTTTAACCCTTTCCCTATCCAAAGCTTAAATTAAATTTTGGCTGGGGTTGAACTTTCAATTCTTACCACTTCATCACTGGTTGAATGTAGCTGCATTTATAGCAGGCTAGCAGAATTTTATTAGACCAAGAGCAGAATCTGTATTATGCTCTATCCTAGACAGTATAGCTGTATTGTATACAGTCAATGATTGTGGTTAGCTCATTAACTTTCAACTTCCTAAGTTATTCATATATTTTATATATAATGTCGGAGCTGTTAATGCATTTTCTTTTGTAGAATGATAACCTAAAGTCAAGCCACATACTTGATCTTGTTTTCGAAGATAAAAACAATGCGACAAAGTAAGCTTCCTGAGTGGCGTAGCCCGTGAATGAGGAAAATACAAAGCACATATGTGAGGTCTGTCAGAATGACCAATGTACGGAGTGATATACGGTAGTGAATTACTATACCATTGAATAAAAAGAGAAATTTTTAAGATAATTCCACTATGTTTATAAATATATTAATCATGATCGTATAAAGTGAAACGTTTTTTTTTTAAAATATCAAATCATGTGCAAGGTGATAAAACTCCTTTGTCATTCTTTTGTCCATGACTGTATATATAAACTGTATATTTAAAGTGAGCTTATTTACTAAGTTAAAAATAACAAGATGATAAGTGAACATTCTTAATCTATTAGTATATTAACCCCTATGGCCCATTCAAGCATTGCTGCTTTCTTTGTGGAGAGATAACATGCAAGAACACTTTTTTTGCTTTGATGCATTAATATAACTAATACAATTCTAATGTTTTTCTGCCTAAACATATTCAATAGAAACACAATAAATAGATCACTTCCAGAAGAGGCCACACCAGAAAAATATAGGAGACTAAACATGGCTTGCTTTTTGGCTTGTGACAGAAAAGTGATAAACTAAGATTAGAAGCCTAGTAAAAATGTCATACACATCTGATAAAATTATGTTTCTCCAATGGTACAGAACCTCCCAAAGGTCATATGTTCCAAGAATTTGTTTAGAGAAACAACAGCCTATGTACTAAGCACTGGATGCATATCTCTAAGTGTGAAAAATTACTTAATATGTCAAATTACTGGAAAGACAAAACACATAAAACACATAAAAAAGGCATATAGGTTTGGCAAAGGAGAAACCATATTGCATAATAAAAACAATATGTGTATACTTAGCTAGGAAAAAAAAGAAGAAATTTAGAACAGACATCCTAGATATTTCCCTTCAGAAGTAGCCATTTGAATTTTAAAGCATGACCTAGGTTTGCTCTAAGATGTTTGGGTCATATACAGAGGAACTGGTATCTGTGTTCCATGTAAACATACACAGGGCTTGATTTACTAAAGGAAATAGGCTGTGCACTGCAAGTGCACTTGGAAGTGCACTGCAAGTGCAGTTGCTCTAGATCTGAGGGGAACATGCAAGGAAAGTGAAAAAACATTTTTTCTTGCACATGATTGGCTGAAAGAAATCAGCAGAGCTTCGCCTCATTTCAAAACTTCCCGTCGGACATAAAGCAACTGCACTTGCAGTGCACAGTATGGGGTTTATCTACCAAAGCTGGTTCACTCAGAATCCCGTGCACTTCTGCATAGAAACCGATCAGCTTCCAGGTTTTATTGCTAAAGCTTAACTGAACAAGCCGAGGTTAGAAGCTGATTGACTACCATGCACATGTGCACCAGATTCTATGTGAGCCAGCTTTAGTAAATGATCCCCAACATTTACCTTTAGTAAATCAACCTCTTGGTGTTATTTATGGAAATGATTTGCTATGTACACTTATTGCTCACAACATACTTGGACATCATATTTGTATTCTTATTTCTTTTGATCATTCTTCTATGATGTTCATCATGCTCTATTTTATTTTACTGTGTTTTTTTGCCTCTTAAATTTTTTGGAAACATTAAAAAGGAAAAAATTTGGAATACAGTGTTTTGCATTTCGTGCGACAACTGCATCAGTATTCAGTAGAAACATATTCTTCAACTAGTACATGGCAGTGTTTAAAAGTCTGTATCTGCATCTATGGTAAACTGTAAAATGTCTTTTCTCTGCATTTATGGTAAACTGTAAAATAACTTTTCTCTGAATAAAGTTTCCTGTTTCCTTGTTGCAATGAAGCAGAAAAACAAATATGGACTGTGCAATGCCTGTTCTGCAGGGCTATATACAGAATTTCTAACAGGTTAGGGGCCCAAACCCAGTCATAGCCAGCTACAGCAAATACTGTAAGTACAATATACAGCAACTGTAAGGAAATTCTTGTATGGCGACTGGCGCATAGAAATGCACATGCAACATCACGCATAGAAATGAGCAAGGGCGCATTGCTTATTAAAACTGAGCATAGGCTCGTGCATGCGTGCTAGAATGTGCACACACGGGTGCACGCATGCGGGAGCATGCCCACAGTTTCTGGTGCCAGACAGACTATTTAAAGGAAGCTCTTACTCTCTGTCAGTGCTGACTGGTCTTCAGCTAATTCACTGTTTCCTGTTGTATTCTGTGTGTATCAGTTACTGACCAGGCTTTCCATTGACCTGCTCTTGGATTCTGTTTATGCTTCCGCACATCGGTTTCTGATCCTGGCTTCCTCCTAACCTCATACCTGTCTAATGTTCCGGTACCTCATCGCCTGCACTTTGCTGACCCTGGCTATTACTCTGACTACACTTCAGGCTCCAGTTTGGCTCTACAGTCCTGCCGACTGCTTGCCCTGGCTATGTATTATATCAGCTCCGGTTGTCATGGTGTGTTCCAGCCTCATGCTTCTCAGAAGTTCCGGCAAGCCACGTACCCAGATCTTGCAGTTCCAGTGGAGTGCTTCCTTAACCTCAGCTGGTCGTTCCTGCATCTCCTCTGTTCCTGACTGGATGCCCTGCTTGATTTACTGAGGTTACACCTCCAGCCACAAGTTCTGCAATCAATATCAGCAGGCACTCGTGTTTCTCCTGTCCCTCAGCACCATCTGTTCCACCTTCAGTGGGGCCTGGGTTGGAGATACAAGAGAGGCTGACCTCGTCAATTCAGACTTCTATCAGGTACGTGACAGCAACATAAAGAAGACTGCAACAGAATAGTGGCCAGTAACACAGTTTCAGCAAAGCTTTTATTTGCAAATCTGACAAACCAGAACTACCAGTCTTGGAAATTGAAGATGAAAATGCTAATTAGAGAAGGTACGTGGAAATATATAAATTGAGTTTGGCCAGAACAATCTTCAGATGAATGGAGAAAGATCAGAAAACTCAGCACACAATCTCTCTTAGCATAGAAGATGATCAAATCATGCATATATGTAAGTGTGAAACTGCTAAAGAAATGTGGGAAGGAGTACAAAAGGTGCACGAAAGAGTTAATCTCAGCAATAAATTGTATTTTATTAGAAAGCTATAGCAAACCAAGCTGATGAAAGGCCAGGATATGCAGGATAACATAAGGCACACCTTGGAAAGGGTTAAATACTTGAGAGGTATAGAAGAAATAAAAGATGTTCATGTTGCAGCACTACTACTTAGTGGTTTAACAGAAAGTTATGAAATGCTTGTTACAGCACTTGATGCACGTCCAGATGATGAACTGACATTAGTATATGTTAGGGGCAAGCTAGTTGATGAATATAGGCATAAAACAGAAAGTATTAATAGTGGTGGAGAGTCTACTTTAAAGATGATAAATAGGAATAAAAATAATA